CTGGCTGGGGCAATAGAGCAAGACTCCATCTCAAAATAATAATAGGCCAGGTGCAGTGGCTCATGCCTGTAATTCCGGCACTTTGGGAGGCTGAGGCAGGTGGATCACCCGAGGTCAGGAGTTCAAAACCAGCCAGTCTGACCAACGTGGTGAAATCCCATCTCTACTAAAAATACAAAATTAGTCAGGCATGGTGACAGGCGCCTGTAATCCCAGCTACTTGGAAGGCTGAGGCAGAATTGCTTGAACCTGGGAGGCGGAGGTTGCAGTGTGCCAAGATCTCGCCATTGCACTCTAGCCTGGGCAACAAGAGCAAAACTCCATCTCAAATAATAATAGGTTAAAAAAAAAAAACAGGAAAATATTACAAATCAAGGTTTGCTTAATGTAATAAAGACTTTCTAAAGAAAAATTAAAGTGTGTATCCTTTCCTCTCCTTCCGTTTAGGAAAATAAGATTTATTGAACATTTACTATACAACAAGCACTTGGGAAGCATTTACACAACATAGTTGCACACTTAATTCCCACAACCCTATGATATATGAGCACTATTATTTCTTTTTGAAGATGAAGACTGAAGCTTGGAGACCTTGGGTAACCTGCCCAAGGTTACCAAGAGTGTGACTAGGCCAGGAATGAAGGCCAGTCTGTCCAGTTCTAAGCTTGCTCTTGGACTTTCTGCTGCAGAAACCCGTTGGGGTAACAGCAGCTGTACCTGAAGAAGGACAAAGCTCAGGAAACTACCAGAAGTAACCCAGGCTGGGTTCTGACAGACAAACATGCCTTCACTAGGTAGGAAAAGGGTGGAAGCAACCCATGCAAAAGCATGGAGGTTACACCAACAAATCTCTTCGGGTTTGTTACCCCTTCAATGTTTGGGTGAAAATTTAAGTGTAGATTTGGGCGCCTCAGGGGCCTGTAGCTCGCCCAACATCCCCTCGCCTTTCTGCTTGGACATCTCTCTCAGCTCCCCTTCGTTCCCTGCACCCCACTTTCTCTACCCGCTAATCCGTCCCCGGGATAAAAGCAAAGAAGGCGATGCCCACAGGAAACCGGCATGAGGGAACTGGGGGACAGGGAAAAGTGACCTCGAGAGTCACATCCACGTGGGTTCGCCCTCTTTTTACACTCTAACGCTCACTTTGTCCTTCCTCCTGGATTCTGGCTCAGGAGAGGAGCGCCGCCAGAACCCCAGGAAGCCGCAGACAGCAGCGGCGGCCGCCACAAACTCATGCAGACGGCGCCTGGGGCGCTCATTACCAGCCACTGCGCCTGCGCAGGCTTGCGTTTCTCGTGCGCGCGAAAAGGGCGGAGCTTGAGACGGGCGGGCAGGGCAGAAGTAGACCAGGGGGCTGGGCCGCTATTCACCAATAGAAAAGAGAGATCGAGAGCCACGTGCCCATAAGATAACCAATTACAATCAAATCCTCTGGCCAGGGATGAGGGGCGGTGGACTAGAGTTTGTCCGGGTTGGGCACGCAGCATCACGTGACGTGAAAAGGTAAATACAGCCACGTGGCTTTTTCTTCTTGGCTTTGGCGAACCATTGCGTCACGCTGTGCCTTAGCTGAACAATTATTTAATGGACATATGTGATGCACGAGACACTGTGAAGATACCGTGGTTGCTAGAATTTGTAATCTCTCCATCAAATTACTCTGTCCAGCTTATTTCCTTGTTTCTTCATTCAAATCATCCTAGCCGTTCAACTGATTTCCCGTATAGTACTTTCTTTTTTCTTTTTTTTTTTTTTGAGACGGAGTTTCGCTCTTGTTACCCAGGCTGGAGTGCAATGGCGCGATCTCGGCTCACCGCAACCTCCGCCTCCCGGGTTCAAGCAATTCTCCTGCCTCAGCCTCCTGAGTAGCTGGGACTACAGGCACGCGCCACCATGCCCAGCTAATTTTTTGTATTTTTAGTAGAGACGGGGTTTCACCATGTTGACCAGGATGGTCTCGATCTCTTGACCTCATGATCCACCCGCCTCGGCCTCCCAAAGTGCTGGGATTACAGGCTTGAGCCACCGCGCCCGGCGCTTTATTATTATTATTATTATTTTCTTGAGACGGAGTTTAGCTCTTGTTGCCCAGGCTGGAGTGCAATGGTGCGATCTCGGCTCACCGCAACCTCCGCCTCCCGGGTTCAAGCGATTCTCCTGCCTCAGCCTCCCGAGTAGCTGGGATTACAGGCATGTGCCACCACGCTCGGCTAATTTTGTATTTTTAGTAGAAACGGGTTTTCTCCATGTTGGTCAGGCTGGTCTCGAACTCCTGACCTCAGGTGATTCGCCCACCTTGGCCACCCAAAGTGTTGGGATTACAGATGTAAGCCACCGTGCCTGGGCTGTTTGCTTTTTTTCTTTGTCTTTGTCTTCCTTCCTTCCTTCCTTCCTTCCTTTCTTCCTTCCTTCCTTCCTTCCTTCCTTCCTTCCTTCTCTCCCTCCCTCCCTTTCTCTCTCTCTTCTCTTTCTTTCCTCCCTCCCTCCCTTCCTTCCTTCTTCTCTCTCTCTCTTTCTTTCCTTCTTTCTTTCTTTCTTTCTTTTCCTTCCTTCCTTCCCTCCCTCCCTCCCTCCTTTCTTTCTTCTTTCTTTTTTCCTTCCTTTCTTCCTTCCTTCCTTCTCCTTCCTTCCTTCCTTCCTTCCTTCCTTCCTACCTTCCTTCCGTCCTTCCTTCCTTCCTTCCTTTCTTTTTTGAGACAGAGTCTCATTCTATCACCTGGGCTGGAGTGCAGTCTTACTGCAGCCTCAACCTTCTGGGCTCAGGTGATACTCCCATCTCAGCCTCCTGAGTAGCTGGGACTACAGCCACACACCACCTTGCTAATTTTTTTACAGAGGGGGTTTCTCTGGTTTCCCAGGCTGGACTCAAGTAAGCTGTCTCGATTTCTCAAAGTGCTGGGATTTACAGGCCTGAGCCACCACGCCCAGCCAAAGAGATAGATTTTTACATCAGAGGATATTGTTCTCTCTCTTCGTTCTGTTACTTAAAAAAAAAAAAAAAAAAAAAAAAGAAAAGGAAAGAAAGAAAGAAAAAAGAAAGAAGTAAGCACCATTCTCCTAAAAGCCCACTTTTCTTCGATTCAACAGGACTTCCAATTTCTTTCCGCCGAAGAAATACTTTTTTATGGCCTTCACAGTTCGTTGAAGACTAAGGCCAGGTCTAACTTGATTTTGCATCCCTTTAAATTCTTCATAGCACAGTATGCAAAAAAGGGTTCTTCAGTCTATGCTTGTTGAATTTGAATTTGAGAACAGACTCATCTTAGCTGCCAAAGAATCAAAAAGACCCTGAGCACTGATGTGACTAAGACTTCATTTAGCATTCAGCAATCATTTATTGACTGTCTCCTACAGGCAGGTAGAGAAACAAAAGTGGCTAAGACACCTCACTCTGCCTTCAACAAGTTCATAATCTGAGCGCACATCTCCTCTGAATTATCTAGATTTGGGTTCCAAGGTCAGCTGTGCCACCCAGGAATGAGTGACTTTTGACAGTCCCTTGCGTCTTTAAGCCAATTTTCTCATCTGTAAGTTGTGGATATAACAGTACCTACAACTATAGAACTTCAAGGAAGACAAGGTAATTGTGCAAAAGACATGACACCTCTGGAGCATACAGCATATCGTATATAAGGATGCCAGTTTGAAGAGCAGGAACAAAAGTCTCAGAGAAGACTGAATGGTAGACAGATACTAACACTAAATTATTGTCTTGTGGCCAGACCCAAATACATTATATCATCAGCATTTTGTATGGTGCCTGGCCCAGAGTAAGTGTTCAATAATCATTGAATGGATGAATAAAATGAGGGAGAAATTATGCCAAAAGATAAGTCTTCATACACTCCCCTCTTCAAATGGAAGAAGGTCTTTTATTGCCCACCACATACCCAGAAGTGGTGGCTGTCTGTCCATCTCCAGTGGTCTGAAACTGCTCAATGGTGCCTTTTCACAGTTCCTTTGGTCTTTTCTCAACTTTTCTTTTCTTTTTGAGATGGAGTCTTGCTCTGTCACCCAGGCTGCAGTGCAGTGGCACGATCTCGGCTCACTGCAACCTCCGCCCTCCAGGTTCAAGTGATTCTTCTGTCTCAACCTCCCGAGTAGCTGGGACTATGGGCACATGCCACCATGCCCAGCTTGTTAATGTTGATTATATTTCATGACTACGATATCAAAATTAGCTTGTAGAATGTGGTGAAGTCTTTTATGGGTTTAGAAAATAAAATCATTGTAGAAAAATTGTTTAATACTGTTGAAAATGGAGGCAGAATCATGAGACAGGAGCAAGATCTGGCTCAAACTAAAGCCTACCACTTCAGGCAGGGAAGGGTAGTGGTTTGTTGTCAGACTCGCCAGGTTCAAATTTATTCTCTGCTGCCCGCTGGATGATAGCATCGGAAAAGTGACCACTCCTGTTGAGCCTCAGCTGAGGAAAAGAAGATTTGCTAACAGTGCCGATACCTCATAGGGCTGTCAAGATGATCTACGGACACAGTCCTCGTACAGGGTAAATAGTCAGTAAATGGTGATTGTTCATCATTATTCTGATTTCAAGGTGCTTGCTTGGTTCCTGGAAGTATCCTTCTAATTCAGCTTAGCTTCCAAGGCTGGAAGAAAGCATGTTCACAAAAGACTAGGCAGAGTAGCCAGGCGTGGTGGCTCACTCCTGTAATCCCAGCATTTTATGAGGCAGAGGTGGCCTGATTGCTTGAGCTCAGGAGTTTGAGACCAGCTTGGGCAACGTGGTAAAATGTTGTCTCTACAAAAAATGCAAAAACCAGCCAGGCATGGTGGCACACGCTTGTGGTCCCAGCTACTCAGGAGGCTGAGGTAGGGGGATTGCTCGAGCCCAGGAGGCGGAGGTTGCAGTGAACCGAGATTGCATCACTGCACTCCAGCCTGGGTGACATGGTGTGATCCTGTCTCAAAAAAATAAACAAAAGACTAGGCAGAGACCCAATTTATAGACAGGGAATAAAAAAACAATCCCCAAACATAAGGTTTTTCAACAAGGTGCTTTATTGGAGGACACAGTGTGAGAATGAGCAGGTAGAGGCGATGCTTTTCAGAGGTGATATTCAAGTCTTACAATACTTCTTGGTGTCCAGGTTCTTGTGCTCCTTGTTATATGGAGCTTTTGAAAAGCAGATGGCAGCATTGCGGTCGCAGTTGCAAATGAAAGCCTCACACTCTTTGTTTTTGCCTGGAGAGGGACAAGAGGAGAGGACTGAGCCAAGGTGGACCCTGCTTTGTACAATCCAGGGGCACGAAGAATTGATTGTAATAAGCTGGCAGCCATTCCACTGATGTACATTTAGGGTTGACAGATTAGGTGAAGAAAATACATCAGGATGCCCAGTTAAATTTGACTTTCAGATAAACAATGAATGCAATATTTGGGACATATACGAAAAAAATTAGCCATTGTTTATCTGAAAGTCAAATTTATCTGGGCATCTTGTGTGTGTGTGTGTGTGTGTGTTTGAGATAGAGTTTCGTTCCTGTTGCCTAGGTTGGAGTACAGTGGGGCGATCTCAGCTCACTGCAACTTCCGCCTTCTGGGTTCAAGTGATACTTCTGCCTCAGCCTCCTGAGTAGCTGGGACTACAGGTACCTGCCACCACACCTGGCTAATATTTGTATTTTTAGTAGAGAAGGGGTTTCACTATGTTGGCCAGGCTGGTCTCGAACTCCTGACCTCAAGTGATCCACCTGCTTCAGCCTCCCAAAGTGTGGGGATACAGGTGTGAGCCACCACTCCCGGCCTAGTTTTTCTACTTTAAAGCACAGATTTAAAAAATTATGAAGCAGGCCGGGCGCGGTGGCTCAAGCCTGTAATCCCAGCACTTTGGGAGGCCGAGGCGGGTGGATCACGAGGTCAA